AGCAGGAAAGAGGTGACCGTGTTCCCTGGGATAGCACTGGTTTCAATGTGTGCAAGCATTCAATGTTTTGGACGGAGAATCGTACATTTGACGCGACTTTGACGTTGACGTCCTTAAAACCCAATAGCTAACTCACTTACCGTATCTGTGGTTCCTGTGTTGGAATGATAAATTTTTAGCCAGCCAGAAAAAAACGCAATAATATTGCACCCTGCCCGCTTAGTTTCAGTACCCACGTATGCGAGAAATGGTGAGCACGAGATGCATACATTATCTCCCGACTTTGCTCAGATGTGTGCAATGTATGTCAACGGCTGCACAGTAGATATGTTCACCAATTTTAGTTTTAAAATCACGGTCTAATCCAATCCAGTAATGTTAAAACTAATTCAACCAGCAGCTTTTCAGAAATTCCGAACCTGAACCGGCACAACTCACAGCAGCAAACAATATCCAACTGTGCCATGCCGACCCATATGCTTCACCTTGGTTTCACATAGCATATGAGGTGCATCAGACCCACACGTCCACGGCCTCGTGAATCGATTTCAGTTTCCTTCAGTTTTGAATTGGCTTGAAGCAATCCGCTTGTTTTACTCGAGCAAGTCAATTTTGAACTAAAAAGCATCCGTAACCCGCGTCGCTCAAAACGCTTTCGATCTAGCCAGAACCAAATGCATGGGTTTGTCCCACCCGTGATGACCTTTGCGTAAGCTCCATGGCTGGACACATGTTCTGGGAGGGTGACACCGGAGACGAGTCCACTGCTGATCGGTCCGGGATTAGGAAACCACCCCCTTAACTCAGAGTGTCAATGTTCTCCCAGCCGAACAGTGGCGCTCTGGTGACGAGCTCGTCATCAGGGCGGTGCTCTGAGCCGAGCTCGTCACGAGAGCGGTGCTCTGAGCCGAGCTCGTCACGACAGCGGTGCTCGGAGCTCATTTCATCACCAAAGCGGTGCTCTGAGCCGAGCTCGTCACCAGAGCGGTGCTCTGAGCCGAGCTCCTCACCAGAGCGGTGCTCTGAGCCGAGCTCCTCACCAGAGCGGTGCTCTGAGCCGAGCTCCTCACCAGAGCGGTGCTCTGAGCCGAGCTCCTCACCAGAGCGGTGCTCTGAGCCGAGCTCCTCACCAGAGTGGTGTTCTGAGCCGAGCTAGTCATCAGAGCGGTGCTCTGAACCGAGCTAGTTACCAGAGCGATGCTTGGAGCTGATTTCGTCACCAGATTCATGCAAAGCGGACGGAAGGGCAGAGTTCGTGCTGCCGGGCCAACGGTCGTACCCGCCTGTCGTCCGGACTCCCTTGTTGGCCCGAGCCCAGGTCCTCACTGACTTACGACCCGATGCCCCCCCGCCCCCCACTGAGGTGACGTCATAGATGCGCACCAATGGGGAGCGCCCTTGTTCCAAATATGGGCACAACTAAAATCAGCTAATCAGACCCCATTGGCAAAGGTAGCATGGGAATGACGCGCTTGAATATTGCTCAAATAACAGTTATTGGCAGGTGATCTGTAGCTAAATACGTAAAAATAAATCCTACTGTTCACGTGAGGTCGAGACCTGCCTGTTTTCCAGGCATACAGGACCGTCCATAGCGTATCGTCCGATGTTGTGCGTTGATAGGTTAGTACCGACGGCTCACTTGTAAACAAAAGCACTTACTTCGCCTCTCGGCCAAGTAAGGCATGGGCCTAGGTCGCGACGTCATAGGCAAAGAATGGTCGTACCAGAAGGGCCACGGGTCATGGCCCTCCCCCCCCCCCCATTGTGCCCCGAGCGGCCCCAGAGGCTACGAAGGGGCCTAAAGCTAGTCGAACAGATGGATTAAAAAAAAAAACTCATACGCAACAAAATTGGACATCTTTGGGTCTCCAGGCATCCAAGACCAGTTGCAAGTAAAAGTGAGCGGCCCACGAGCAGATAAAATTATACTTCACTGATTGAAGAGGTAAAAATTATGCTTTACTGATTGAAAAGGTTGTGATTGGAATGTTATAAGGCTTATTTCGCTGTTCAGAGGCTCTATGCTGCTCCAGGGACCTACATGCCACTCACAGGGTGAATCCGATCGTCAAGGAGTCCTCCACACTGCACGTACTTTCTTTTCATTCGTCCAGAGGGCCTTGAACTGTTGCTGTGGTCTTTCCTGCTACCGTGCCGGGGCGCTCCTGTCAATCAGGGACCCGTCACGGATTCCTTCCATTGGCCCGAAAGGCTCCATACGATATAGCCGGGGGCCCCATATGCTAACCTTCCGGGATGTTCTCGGTGGCTCCGGATCCCTTCACGTTGGTCTCGGTTATCCTACCGACGCGCTCGCGATACGCTATGGGCCCTCTACATAAGTCTGGGGCCCTTCCAATTCTGTGTCACTTGCTCAGGGCCCTACGCTCTCATAGAGGGCCGATCTGTTAACCTGCTTGGGCACACTCGGTCGTTCGGACCCCTCCAAATTGGGTCTTGGGTACTTTGTATTTTAATGGAGGACCCTAAACACTTGTCGGGTCCCCATCTTTTGACCTGCTCGGGCACACTGGATTGTTTTGAGGGCCCTGTACATTAGGCAGTTGAATGTAGGGGCCTACGCCCCTGTCGGGATCATCTGATAACCTGCTCGAGTACACAGTTTAAGGCACGAGAATCGCCACTAGATCTCAGTGGCTTATGAAGAACAGGGCTCTGGTGTCGCGGTGGGCGACACATACCTGGGCCAGATATGTGTCGCCGATGAGGTCAGGAGAGGACATTCGACGACGCCCAACGACGCACGCAGTGTCAGACACTACCCAGCAGTCCCTCATGGGTGCGCGCTGCGGAGGCGAAGGCGCGGTAGAATCAGCGGGATATATGCTCTGCTCTTCTCTACGCCTTCTTCATGATGAGCAGCAGCAGCTCGTCAGCGACCCACCCAGGCCCCCGGCTCTGTTTCGGGCCCCTGACACTGAGCGTGTGTCTGGGTTCCGGCTCTGTATCGAACCCCGAGACACTGCCTGTGGGTCTGGCCCCGACTCTGTATCGGACCACGTGACACTGACTGTGTCTGGTCTCCGGCTCTGTATCGGACCCCGTGACACTGACAGTGGGTCTGGCCCTGGCTCTGTTTCGGACCCCGTGACCCTGACTGTGGATCTGGCCCCAGCTCTGTATCGGACCCCGTGACCCTGGCTGTGGGTCTGGCCCTGGCTCTGTATCGGACCCCGTGACACTGACTGTGGGTCTGGCCCCCGGCTCTGTATCGGACCCCGTGACACTGACTGTGGGTCTGGCCCCCGGCTCTGTATCGGACCCCGTGACATTGACGGTGTGTCTGGGCCCCGGCTCTGTATCGGACCCCGTGACACTGACTATGAGTCTGGCCCCGGCTCTGTATCGGACCACGTGACACTGACTGTGGGTCTGGCCCCCGACTCTGCTTCGGACCCCTGACACTGACTGTGTCTGGGCCCCGGCTCTGTATCGGACCTCGTGACACTGACAGTGGGTCTGGCCCTGGCTCTGTGTCGGACCCCGTGACACTGACTGTGGGTCTGGCCCCCAACTCTGTTTCGGACCCCTGACACTGACTGTGTCTGGGCCTCGGCTCTGTATCGGACCTCGTGACACTGACAGTGGGTCTGGCCCCCGACTCTGTTTCGGACCCCTGACACTGACTGTGTCTGGGCCCCGGCTCTGTTTCAGACCCCGTGACACAGACTGTGGGTCTGGCCCCCGCTCTGTATCGGACCCCGTGACCCTGACTGTGGGTCTGGCCCCGGCTCTGTTTCGGACCCCGTGACACTGACTGCGTCTGGGCTCCGGCCCTGTTTCGGACCCCGTGACCCTGGCTGCGGATCTGGCCCCGGCTCTGTATCGGACCCCGTGACACTGACTGTGTCTGGGCCCCGGCTCTGCCCCTGGCGGAGA